GTGGGTTTTCTTTTGAAAAGCATTTTCAGTCGCGGGACATTTTACAAATCAAAGATAAGTGTAGGAGTCTCACTAGCGCTCCACTCGGGTGTTCTCCGTCTTTCTTCTGACAGTTCGCGAGAGAGGGGGCGGTGTTTTGCATGATGTCGACCTGCGAATGCAGACACGATGGCTGGATTGCGTTTACATTACACTGAGATCCGATCACAATGCGTCCTTGACTACCTCTGGACCAGGACACGCGTTTACACTTGTCTTTTCAATGTGTATGTGGACAACATCCGGATACAGGTCGCATGTTAATGCCAAGTGTAAACGCAGCCTCAGGATATTATATTAGTGGATATTATATTATTATAAATAAATTAATTAGCACAGATAAAAAAGGATCATTTTATTAAATATAGAAAAAAAGCCAATCAAAATAATTTTCAAAGCACAAATATCAAGGAAGTAATTTTATTTTACTATTTACAGGGTATCTGTAGGATTTTTTTTTATGACCCTTTTTAAGGCCTGCACAAATACAATTAACACTGTGAGCAGGGTAGGGCAGCAAATGGCTGCAATATAACAAAGAGTGAAAAATTTAAGGGGGTCTGAATACTTTCCGTACCCACTGTACATTCATATAAACTCCTACCCCTAAATGAGTCGCGATTTGTTTAGCATCTCAACCGATTTGAATCGTCACATATTTGAATCGATTTTCAACCGACTCGCGGTTAATCGTTACATCCCTAGCAATGACATATTAAACTGTAAAGTGATACACATTTCATGATCTCATTTCAGCCTTTAAACCATTTTTAAGAAAAGGGATGAGTCAAAAATATAAATTATTATATTAATTTAAAACTAAAAATTAAAAAATATATATATCTTAATTGTTTAGATTTTTAAAAGGCACATTAGCTTCATTCACATTTACAAATCTGCTTGTTTGCTACATATAAACATGGGTTGATTTTTCGCATTGGTCTGAACTAAAGCAGCAGACGGGCTAATTGAAAATGCACATTCATTCTCTGCCAAGCAGGTGGGGCTTTTGAAACGGCAGAAATTAGAAATTAGGTTAGTACAAAACAGCCACTGCTTTATCAGGCATTGTAGGCAAGATGAAATGAAAATGCCATCGAAACTTTTCTGAGGACAGTCAGTTCCCTTTAGAGACACATTCATTTAAAAACACGCGTGCCACGTTTTGACTTTAAAACATGCAGCTCATATTTATGAAATGAAATCATAGCCTTAAACGTCACATTAAGCCATATCGCGAATCTTGTCTTTCCGTCTTTAAATGTAAGACCTCTTGAAATTATAATGATAGATTATTATTATGATTAAGACTTTTCTTATACCATTTAAGGTATTTAAGACTTTTATGGTCTTAAATTTGATACGACTAAATTTAAGACTTTTTAAGGACACGTGGGAGCAGCAGGGCGGTGATACATTTTGGAAGCCCGACTGGAAGACACAATAGCCCCGGGATGTCAGGCTAGCAATTTTGCGAGCCCTGAATATTACACAACACATCTCAACTAATGCCAGTATTTTTTCTTAAAGGTCATGATGAATAAAAAGTGTAAGAATCTATTATTATATAAATTATTTTTCCTTTAGATATCTGTTGTAATGAGAGTTAAAAGCTGAATAATATTTTAATAATCGAATCATTTTGCTATCCACACATAAAGATTTTAACATCCGGCTTGGTGTTTGCTTCTCAGGTGTTATGCAACATTCCCCTAAGATTTTCTACACACTATCTTTTACTAATTTTATTTCAATTCTCATCTGAATCTCATATTTTAGTATTTTACACATTATAAAGAAGTCGAATGGAAAGAGAACAATAACCTACACGGGAACAAGATTTTCATGGAAAATGACAGATCAGAACTTTGGTTTTGAGACTTTAGTCTTTGCAACTTCAGGGATCTTATCTATGCACAATCAGCTTGTAACACTCCAAAGAGAAAGGAAAACTTGAAATCGCATCATATGACCCCTTTAATAAAGAACAGAAAAATCCATAATTTAGCAACATACTAAATATTGTAGCATGTTGTCATATAATGATTGTGGTGGTGTTTCTGGTGGTTACTTGTAGCTTGACACTGGCAGTGTTTAAGCCGGCTCTGGAGCCCCTAGTGTTTGTGTTGGTTAATTCCACACATTCCTGGCCTTATTCCTGTGATCCCAGACTGGTGAAACCACCAGATTTAATTTGTTGCTCGTCCTTTAAATGCCACACATAAAGAACGCAGCCTGTCTCTGAAGATTGGTGACAAATAAGCACGTTCTTACCCTCCACTTAAACCTGAACACATTCCTCAGGGACATATCCCTCAGAGACAAGTCTGTTCTTGTTGCATCAAGGCTGTATTGTTCATTGTCTAAGAGCTTTAAGTTAGTCAGTTTTTACTGTGTGGGCAGCAGAGGAGAGGAAAACACCTGTGACATTCATGCGTGCACACACCGCCTTCAGTCTCTGTTGTTTCAACATGCCGTGTGTCTAATGTGTGTGACGGCGAGCAGAACTTCTCAAAAACAAAATTACAGACAGTGAATCTGTAGAATCTGTGACCAGAAAAAGGAGTTAGCATCTCCACAACAATAGACAGAATGCAACGGAATGGAACAGATGGGTTTCAAGAAATTTTTAAAGGAATAGTGCACCCAAAATGAAAGTTTGCTGAAACTTTACTCACCCTCGGGCCATCCGAGATGTAGATGAGTTTGTTTCTTCATCGGAACAGATTTGGAGAAATTTAGCATTACATCACTTGTTCATTAATGGGTCCTCTGCAGTGAATGGGTGCCGTCAGAATGAGAGTCCAAACAGCTGATAAAAACATCACAATAATCCACACAATGTCAGTCCATCAATTAACTATTGCTTCCAGCTAACGTACGAGTCCTCTATCTAGAATATTGCATTCTCCAGTGATAAAGTTGATTAATCTGAATCAGGAGAGAAATATGTTCAGATAAAAGCACCGTTTATAAGCAAAAACAGTTCTAAATAAATATGTTGGTAGATTTTGATGTGAAAGGACAACCGGGATTGACTTTTTCACTTGAGGAAGCGTTATTATGGATTATGTTTGTATTATGGACTCATATTTTGGCCTAGATGCAACAGTTTAAAGTTAAAACACATCAATGATGGATTTGGTTCTTGCAAACACGCAGCTTTTACTTTAAGACATTAATTGATGGACTGGACTCGTGTGGATTACTTTCAGATTATTGTGATGTTTTTATCAGCTGTTTGGACTCTCATTCTGACGGCACCCATTCACTGAAGAGGATCCACTGGTGAGCAAGTGATGTAATGCTACATTTCTCCAAATCTGTTCAGATGAAGAAACAAACTCATCTACGTCTTGGATAGCCTGAGGGTGGATACATTTTCTGCAAATCTTCATTTTTGGGTGAACTATTCCACATGGTGTTGGAAAACATTTAAAAAGCAACTTGCAAATGGCTAAAGAAATCAATGTCAAATGCATTTTTTAATTTTTTTATTATTTTAAAAGTGATTGATTGATTTATTATTATTGTTTTGTGACATTTTACTACAATATAAATATTACTTTATTTTGTAATTAATACATTGATAATTTATTCCTTAATTTTATTTTTAAGCGACACTCCTTGTCCTCCTTAATGGACTTCGAGAAGTGCCCTTAATGGTGTTGTCTATAAGTAATAAATGAAGATTACTCACCCTCCTCATGTCAGTGATTAACTGTTTTATCTGTTGTGTAGCTTTATGCCAGTATATACAGGCTACTAAATTCAGAGATGTTGCCAGAGGAAAGTTGGCGGGTGCAAAAGAAGGTAACCCCTCCCCCCCACCCCCCACTATGTTCTCCACTCCTGCAGGCAGTGCTCCTGTTTGTATCACAATCAACCACAGCTCAGCCTGTGCCCGCTAACCTTTAACCTTTCCACGCACTTCTTTCATAGCACCGCTGTTTGCTCATGTGTGAGAAGGCTGCGTGGTCGGGTAGTGTGGGATCACCTGTCTTCCTGTCCTTTCTCCCTTCAACTCCATTTCCTCTTATTCTCTCAACAGCAGCAACTTATTAGCACTCCAAACTGTTTGTCAGTCACTGCTCGGTGTACTTTCGCCAAGGTTCGCTTGGTGGGCTGTAACTCCTTCACTTGGAATGATTTTCGAGGCACGTCTTTTCCACGCGTTGCAACACTTCTCTGCTTCATCTGTTCTAGCACTTTTGGCTTTGACTGGGTTTGATTTCTGTTTTCTTATGTTTTTCGCAAATTTCTAAACAAATGTCTTCTTCCAGAAGATTGTTGTAAATATTTAATGTTAAGATATACACCACTATATCACTTTTGTGATGTGGTTTGCTTGAATTGCCATGAAGGTTTGAGGATAATTGCTGGAAAAGAGCTTTCTGAGCTTATCTTTCTTTTTCTCTTTCTGTCTGAATCTCAGGTGAGAATTTTGAGCAGAGTCCACTGCGGAGAACTTTTAAATCTAAAGTTCTAGCGCACTATCCCGACAATGTGGAGTGGAACCCTTTTGACCAGGATGCAGTGGGCATGGTGAGTGACACACGGTCTACCAATATGGGCTTTTCAAAAACTAATTCTAGTTTCTAGAAAGCAAGGTGGCCACCAGCAAGTGCAATGAAAATTTGCGATAGTTCTACAATATAATAACAGCTTTGATGCAAAACACCTTTTCAGCTATCTTATTTTACATGTCAGGCACTATATTTTTTGATGAAAATATGGCTCAGTGAATTTTCTGAGTGAAGTTGAACAACTGTCAACCAATCTTTTGATTGAATGATTTAAAGACTCACTCATAATATTCAAAAAGACACTCACTGGTTGCCACATATGGGAAAAACAAAGTAACCTGGAGAAAGAATCATCAAATTAATCAGTGAATGAACAAGTTGTCGATTGCACTACAACCTTTAAAGGGATAGTTCACCCAAAAATGAAAATTACTATCCTTGGTGTATATGACTTTCTTTTTTCAGATGAAAACAATCGGAGTTAGATTTAAAATGTCCTGGCTTTTCTAAGCTTTATAATGGCAGTGAATGGGTGTTGATATTTTGAAGTCCAATAAAGTGCATCAGTCCATTATAAAAAGCACTCCACATGGCTCCGGGGGGTTAATAAAGGCCTTCTGAAGCGAATTGATGTGTTTGTGTAAGAAAAATATACATATTTTAAACTTTATAACTGTAATCTTTAGCTTCTGCTAACTGTCGTACATGCGCACACGAGTGAGTGGCGTTCCAGCGATTGACGTAGGACGTAGGCGTAGCGTAAGCTTCGGTGAGAAGTGATTAACGCGAAAGCGCAGAAGAGAGAGCAAAACAAAACACCGGGCATGAATTAGAAGTGCAAAACAAGGATTTGAAAAAAAAAAAAAATTATGGAGGATTTTGAAATATGCCAAGTGTAGACTGGTTTTCCTTTGCTGTAAACAAAACTTGGTTCTCACGAGACTAGCATATTCTCACCAGAGCTTTTATTCGTCTGAAAGAAGAAAGTCATATACACCTAGGCTTGAGGGTGAGTAAATCATGGGGTAATTTTCATTTTTGGGTGAACTATCCCTTTAAGGCCCAGGTATGCTTCATATTCTGTGTTCCGCTTCGTCTCATGCACAGTTAAGAATGCAAGCCTTTCAAAGTATACTTTTTTGAACATGAGTGTGGATAGATGCGACTAGTGGACCATATTTTTTCAAGCACTCAGAAGTGCTGTTTTTTGTGCATGGACAACAGTGGACTGTGCTGATGAAAACAATTACGCCACACAGACAGCCACGGACAAGTATATTTTGGGCTTTAGAGTCGACTAACAATTCCTGATTCCTCAGAATTGCAAAAATGTGATTCTTTTTGGGATCCACACCAAGCCTTCCTGTATCTTTACCCTGTCATAAAGCAGGAAGGCACTTGAGGTGGTGCTGCTGGTCATGCCTAACAACGCCCTTTTGCCCAGTCTATATTTAGAATATAGCACAGCTTACTGCAACGAAAATAGAAAATATGCACTCTCCAGACGTCTGTTAATTGTCCGAACATGCATGCTTCTCGACAATCTTAAAAATGGCCATGTCAGACACTTAATATGCATGGATGCTATATAGAAGTGGCTCCCAGCCATGTTCCTTAAGGGCCCCCAACAGTGCACATTTAAAAAAAAAAAAAAATGAAAGTGAAGTGACATGTGGCCAAGTATGGTTACCCATACTAGGAATTAGTGCTCTGCGTTTAACCCATCCTAAGTGCACACACACAGCAGTGAACACACACACACCGTGAACACACACCCAGAGCAGTGGGCAGCCATTTATGCTGCGGCGCCCGGGGAGCAGTTGGGGGT